CTCCTTCACCAAAACCATCTCCTATTCCCACACCTTCAACTCATTCATCTTCTCCACTTGACCCAAAACAACTCAAAGCTCTTCAATCTCTCAATATTCCAACAGGTAAAAACCCATGTACTCACAACTCAACTATTGTATGTGATTTTTCAACCCCATTTCGTCACATTGTTTCACTTTCACTTTCCAACTGTTCAGATGATGTTGCTTTATCTCTTACTGCTCTTAAATCTTTGTCTACACTTACCAATTTACAGTTTATTAACTGTCCCATTTCACCTATTCATTTCCCTTCTCAGCTCACTTTAAATCTTAAGTCATTTACTTGTATTAATAGCCTCAAGAAACTTACTGGGGTTTGGTTAAGTCGGTTCAAGAATGTAAATGAGTTAACTGTTTCGCGTGTTTCTGTTACTGCTAGTGGTCCTGCTATAATTTTGGATGGAATTGAGCACTTGCTTTCTGTTACTATTTCACATGCTAATTTATCTGGGGTTTTGCCTAAACATTGGCACCCGAATCTTAGTTATGTAGATTTGTCTGGGAATAAGTTAAAAGGGAAAATTCCCAGCTCGTTAACCGAGTTGGAGAATCTTGTTTTCTTGAATCTGTCATCAAATTCGCTTAATGAGACAATTCCAACTTCATTTGGTGACTTGTCTTCTTTGCAAAATGTATCATTGGCTTCGAATTCGTTGTCTGGATCTATTCCTGATTCAATTGCTGCTATCCCGGGTTTAGTTCATCTTGATCTAGGGTCTAATCAGCTCAATGGGACTATTCCGAAATTCATTTCAGATATGAAAAAATTGAAATACTTGAATCTTGAGAAGAATAACTTTCATGGGGTTTTGCCTTTTAATGCGTCGTTTATAAAGAAATTGGTTGTGTTGAAAGTGGGTGAAAATTCTAATCTTTGTTACAATCACTCGAAGTTGTCTAAGAAAGTGAAACTTGGCATTGCGCCTTGTGATAAACATGGGTTGCCTTTATCGCCTCCGGCTTCAAAGGACATAAGTTCGGATGATGATGAGGACGACTCTGATTATGCTGACGATGAAAGGCCACACCAACAACATAGTCATGGACCAAGTAAGGTTGTTCTTGGTATTGCCATTGCACTTTCCTCGATTGTGTTTTTGATTATTTTCTTGGTTCTGTTGGCCAAATGCTGTAAATGAGTATAAAAACAAAGTCTTGGTTGGTTTAGTTTAGGAAATTTCTTAATTGGATATTTGATTTGTTTTAGTTAATTATACAGTTGTACCTTGAAAAAAAGTAGAAGATGTGGTTCGCTCTATTTGGTGTGATTCTTTTAGCTGTTTTGCTGTAGGAGGAAGCTCCATTTTCAGCTTTCTTCTTGGCTAAGTGATTCTTAAGTGTATGAGGTGGGAAATTGTTTACTAATGAATATCTTTATATATATGTACCCTGTCGAGGTGAATTGTTTAGTTATTTAGACTTCACTTAATGTTAGTTTTGCATTCATCTTTTAGCGTCTGCCTGGATGTCATTTTGACTTTTAGATTTTGCAATTTAAAACTCACAGTCCTAGTAGTTTATCCTATGCTTAATCTTTGCGTTCTGATATTTGAAAGATCAACGGATATGCTGACATCTTAATTGCTCACAACAGTTTGTTGTGGCTTATGCTAACCTTCATTTATTTATTGATGTGAAAGTTTCCTTTGTTTTTCACATGTTTGTTACCACTGCACACAATTATCTATATTGTGTGGATCTTTCATTTGTCTTGACATACCCGTGTCCGGACGGGTGTGATAAGTTGCCATCTCTGGAGCATCTACCAAATTAGCTCTACAGTCTATTGCCTTAGTTTTAACTGCACTGATAACCATTTTCGCTGCTTTTTGGGGATGATTTTCGTAATTTGTTGTTTCGCTTCCTTTGTGCTCTACCAGACATTCCAGTATTGCACTGGGATGCCCTGTGTTTTTATTGGAGATTCTAACAGAAGCTCGATTATTTCCCCTCCCTAGTCCCCCCACTGTGGTATTTGATCACCACAATGAATTCTGCTTCTATTTTAAATATCTATCTAGAAATTAGCCATGGAACATTCATATAGTCAACTCCAACTTGCTTCAGATTGAGACTAGTAGTAGTTTGTTGTATTTGTAATTGTCTACTTAACTGTTACATCTACTGTTTTTTGGCAATGTGTTTATGACTGAGTCTTTGAGATCTGTTGGATATTGGGATTAGCAAGCTGTAGAGCAAAGGCCAAACAGGGAATGTCACATGATGGATGCATCATGCAATATTATTGACAACATCCTGTTATGATTAGCAAGCTGCACTCAAAGATAGCAAACCCCACTGGCCATTTCTAATTATAGTTCACGTTTCTTGCAGACTTATTAGTTGTATATAGTCGGACCTCTCTATAACAACATGCCTATATAATAGCCATTCACTGTAAAAGTTGAGTTTTTTTCGGAATCGATTATTATGTTATGTTATAATATATGTCCTCTATAACAACACTTCACTATAGTAGCCAAAAAATATTGGAACAAACGATACTATTATAGAGAGGTTTGACTATACCTGTGTAGCTCATCTCGGCTTTAAAAAGGATAGGTGCTTACCTAACCATGTTATTCCAGCTCTTATGTTGAAATTTTTCCATGTGATGGTTGTACTTCATGTGATTTCCTACTTCCTACGACTTCCATCAACAGCCTAAATAAGTGCTGGCTGTGAATTGTCTTTGAAGTCTATCTACCCACCTTCTCATCTGGCTATGATTGGTAGGCAGATTTATCTGATATCTATGCTAGTCGGAGGTAGCAAGCAGTGGCGAAACCAGGATTTTTCTAAGGGGAGTTAAAATATAAAGAAGTGAACCCACTAAGTAACAAATAGGGTGTCAATATGTAGTATATATACATAAATTTTTTTTATCTAGATATACTGTAATTTTCCGACAAAAGTTTGTCGGTTGACACCCCTTAATATATGTGGCTTCACTACTGGTAGCAGGTCTCCGGTGGATAGTCGAGGTTCTTTCCCGATGAAGGTGTGTCGGTTGACACCCTTTAAATATATGTGGCTTCGCTACCGGTAGTAGATCTCCGATGGATAGTCGAGGTTCACACAAGCAGCCTTGGACACCATCTTTATGAAAAAAGAACAAAAGAAGATCTATATACCCTTCTTATGTGGTGGTGATTGAATATATTATAATGCAGCCATTGGAGTAAAAGGATGGCTTGGATTCACTTGTTAATTGTTCTTGTCAGACAGTTTGATTTCATACCATCATCATTTGTTTTCTTTTCTTTTTTCAAAATCATCATTTCTACCATATGGTGAGATTTATACTTGATCTGTAAGAATTACTTTATGTCTTCCTTTTTTGTTTCCCCTCCATGTGCCCACACATTAGAAATATTGTGTATACTTGATGGCCTGGAACTTTAAGATAAGACCATGCCAGGTTGGTGACAAATCTTGGCTTTTATGTGTACAATAATGAACTATCATTATATCAGCCAGCTTTGGCATTATTATTCATGTGTAAGGACCAAACCTACCTTATTTTTTCATACTTTTAAAATTCTGATAAAACTTAAATGAATTTACTTCCTCACAGTTCCCTAAGTGATCATATATCGGAAAATATTGAAGACCAGCAGTAACAATATTCATGTTTTCTTAAATTCTTTTTCTACTATTAATTAAACAACCACATAATATATCATTTCCTTTTTCTTTCTGCATACATTTTTGTAGACATTTAACTGAAACAATTCATTCAAGATCTAAGTTACCAAAATTGGACACCCTTGCTAAAGAAATATGACTAATGTACTTTAACAAGACATTTCACAAGTTTGATGATTAATATTCTTTAAGCATTTATCAGCGCGAGGTACTAATACTAGTATATTTTAAAGACTAATTTTACTTATTATGAATATATATAATGATAAACATATCGTCGATCTATAAAAGCAAGTCTCTTTCCTTTATAGTAAACAATGGCTACACCAAATTGATGACACAAAGTTCAAAGTATGGTGGACAAACTTATACACTAACAAAAGCGATTTTAATCAATTCCAAAGCTTTTCTACTTTCAAAATTTTGTAATAGAAATCATCAGCTCGAGATCCACCAATTTCACAAAGTTTTTTTTTAATTCATGTACAATATTTGAAATATATTTACCATGAGTCGATTCAATGATCATATATCTATATGGATCATCTATCTATGTAATTTAGTTAATGAGATCAACTAATCTTTATCCCATAAAGACGATCAC